TCTAGTTCAATATTTGAAACGGAACGAAAAACTTTAACATGACTTGAGGGTGTGTCAGCGGCCAGGTAGACCTTAGTTATTACCATGTTACCTGCCACCAGTAGCCAGAGGTGATCCCAACACATTCTTGGGGTGTACTCTACGACAGCCCGGCGCCACCACGGCGGCTGCGTGGGCCGCGGCAAGGAGAGGAAAGAGGGACCAACCACTCTAGTTGGCACGGTAAAAGGCGTTTCACTTGTTTTTGTCAGGGAATCGTGACTACACACACACACACACACCAAGCTCCCGGAGGAGTCTATGGTTTTAAAGGTGGTAGATTTTTTTTATCTTTATGACGTTTTAATTGTATTTTCGGGGTAAACATCCCAAAACACGGGTAAAAGTGTTGCTTAATTTCACCCTCAGTCTTGATCTTGAGCTGTGGCCGACTTGATGCTCGTGCTGTGTACCTAGACCTGTCATCGAAATATCTGCACAATAGGAAATATACAAACACCCACCCGACATATTTGTACGACAATTGTCTTCTCAAAATACAAATATATAAATAAATTAAATACACTTCAAAGTGGTCTGCAAGTATCTTAATATCTGGAGGAGATGGCGCAGTTGTGACCTTAACAATGATGCCATGTTTACATTTTAAATTTACTAATAAATCTTCATCTTTGACATTCTCCCTGACATACACCTGAACACTACCCTCCCCCCCCACGGTATTTTTTTTCGCGGTCAGGTATAAGGACCTGAATAATACTGATAAATAACAATGGCGCTTAAGTTGAAGTTCATCACAGCCACCTGACGAGCCTCTTCATCTGTCCTCCTCCCTTAACAGCGAGGGAAAAATCTAACTTATACGCAGGGCAGGAGGATAGTTAGGGCGTCTCGTGAAGGATACGTGTGACCGGGCAGCAGACCGCAGGAGGGACGCCACACGTCTACTCTCGGGATTCGTTGCTAGGCTTCTAAGCAGCGTCAGTCTGTCCGACTAATTACCCAAATGTAGCCGCAATTAAGTCAAATAATGGTCCTACATGAATAAATCGGACTGCCAATCACTTCTCGACTAGTATTTAGTGTCAGAAAGTAAAAAAAAAATGGAAAACTTACTTTAATCTGAGTTAATAGATCGCGTGCATGTACCGAGGGAGCGAGTAATTACCCAAATGTAGTCGCAATGAAGTCAAATGATGGTCCTACAAGCGTGAATCGGGCTGTGAATCACTTCTCGATTATTATTTGGTGTCAGTCACAAAAAATTGGTAAACTTAATTTAATCTGAATTGTGTTAGGTTAGGTACATGCACTCGATCTATTAACTCGGATTAAATTAAGTCTACCAATTTTTTGTGACTTCATGACCCCAAATACTAGTCGAGAAGTGATTGGCAGTCCGATTTAATCATGTAGGACCATTATTTGACTTCATTTTGGGTACATTTGGGTAATTAGTCGGACCCGCGTCAGTCATGGTCAGTAAACTTTTCAGGAGACTTTTGCCGTGTTGGGCTCGGTATGTTTCGGTGACGGAAAAGGTTAAAATAGTTTTGTTAACTTTTTATTTTTAGTACGCATACAGAAAACGCCCATAAAATTATTACCCTAAAAATAAAAGATTACGAACTGGATAATCTGGATAAATATTAAAACAACCTATAACTTCAACGCTATCCAACCCAGTACCTTACTATCGCTAACCTTTAAACCCAGCTAAGTACTGTATCACCTTTACCATCTAACAGCATCGTTTCAATCTCATTAGTTCCATTATTTACAAGTACGGCACTGTCGAATTACCACATGTTTAAATTAGACACGAACAAAGAAAACTGAATGTTCCTCAATATTTTTACAATACTCGAAAAATTCACAAGATTTTCACTCATCGGCAGTATACTGGTGAAGGTAAAGCCACGGAGTCAAGTCCACCGGCAGCTGTACCCATGACTATAAGGGTGATGCGAGGCCAACACGTGACTAACGCCGAGGCCTCTCTAGAGTGACCGGCCTAATCTCCCCACGACCACCCCTCACGACTGCTGAACTTTGAGAACTTCAGATAACGATAGGAAATGAAGTGAAAAAGGTAGAAACTACATACATCGCAGGGAAGAGGGAGGCAGTGCGAGGACATCAAAACGAAAGAGGTGGTGAAGGGAGAGGGAAGAGTCACGGTCCGTACAGGAGATACGCAGCAGGAATTATTTGTGGCAAAGGGGTACAAGAATCAGGGACGAGCAGGGAAGGGGATATATTGGGGTGATGGAGGAAGGGTAAGGGGAAGAGGAGAGGTGGTGGGGGTGTCAAAGGAAGGTGGGGGTGTGTGTGTGGGGCAGGGAGTTGGGGGTGAGCCGTGAGATTTCAGAGTGGGCAGACAGCCAAAGTTTGGTTGGGCAGTGCTGAAAGAGTGTGTGTGTGTGTGTGTGTGTGTGTGTGTGTGTGTGTGTGGCCACGCTTTCTACGAGAGGAACGTGCCCTTCCCACTCCCCCCTCACCCCCCCTGTGCCTTACGAGATTGCCCACCACTACCATGTGTATGTACTGTGTGTGCCAAAAGAATTACTTACGACTCGGGGCGCTTAAGTTGTCGTCGTCACATAATGCAATGAAAATAAATCAAGTAAATTATAGTGACGAGAATCCTACCAACTCAAGCTTACGTCTTAGTACCTGTAAGATTAGGATGAGAAAATGATTAAGTAGTTAAGGGCCCAAAGTTAGGGTAAGTGGGCCTGGGAAGACAATAACTGGGATGAATGAGTTAAAGGGCCCGAAAGTATTATTTGGGAGTGAAGATCCGTGGTCGAAAACCTTCCTCACACACGGGTGGTATTGACTACGTGGGACTGTCTGACGAGGCAAAACTAACATCAAATTAACCACGAATTATTCCACCATATTATTTACACTACACTAAAACGATCTCGCGTCATTTGGAAGTTACCTACGTTCTATATCAATCTGGCTTTCTTCCAATAACTAAAAAAATTAACACAGTAGAAATTGGTCGTGACATAAAACCCATCATTCAAGACGCTGTGACCTTACATACTATACACGCACCCTGCACGTCAAGTGAGATGTCGCAAGGTCACTGCAGGTAAAGATAGAATCACCTTTATCTTGATGATCCCACGTGAGTTTAACCAACATACCAGACAGACCAACACGCTCTCCCATGAGCTGTCTAGATCAAATTGAAGGTGCCAGGGAATCCCATTTAGCCTTACGCGAAATTCTTAAAGACCGGTTTGCGTTGCTCGTGGCCGCACCCTTCTCACTCACGAGGCAAACACATACATTCGTCAAGCACAATTATTAACACACTAGGTTTATGTTGTAGGGCGCGGCAGCCAAGTGGATATTATTTATGCCTCGCACTACAGGTAGCTGGTTTGGTCCACTAGTCCACCCAGCTGTGAATGGGTGGAGGCAGTTCTGAGGTGTCGGTCTCACTGCCCCTGTATACAAAGTTAATTAAGTGCTGTATCCACTCTGCCCTGTTTCGCTTACTAAAGGTCCGTGGACGATGGTGGTAGGGGTGGTGGCAGGTAGTGGTAGTGGGATATGAATAAACACAAACCTGAAATCTATACTCGCCTTGCCTGGCCTGACCGACATACATTGAACACACCTGCAGTTAAAACAAACACATTTGCTCGTGTGAAATTCATTAAACACCTCCTGCTAGGTACAGTACACACCAAATATTTAATATCCAAAATAAAGTAATCTACTTATAAGCAATACAAGAATAAAACTTTATAAATACTTCAAATATAAAAAAATCCTTCTCTAATAATGCAATTTACAAATGCACTGTACAGAAATGGTGGGACGGTTTCACATACAGCTTTTTTTAATGTTTACAGTTGGTCACAGTTCTAATCCGACGGTTCATTTGTCCACCGAGTCTAAACCTAACCTAACCATTGTACACCGAGTTTTTCCCTTGGATCATGTAGCAACAGTCGGCAAGCACAGCAGTATCTAGTCTCTGCATGACGCACCCAATGACCTACGCCTCACACACCCGGGCGCCGGTCTGCAGCCACACCATAACGTTAGTACAACACTCCTGGCTGCCACTCTCAACACCACACTTTCATCACTCCTCTAACACCATAACCCACAACACCCCACACACATTACTGTTGGGATTTTGACCAGAACAAATTGTAAATTATTATTCGGCTCACAGTGGGATTTTGTCCAGCAGGAAATATCCCAATGGACATATTTCAATGACTTCACCCCTCCCTCTATACCCCCAGCTCCTGCCTGCAGTCTCCCAAGTTACGTAACCGTCAGCAAAATTCGATAGAACTGCTACCTCGACCCCGCATGCTCACCCACTCCACAGAAGCCTAGTGGTGACTGACCTTCCCTTGCCCGTTGTTCTTTGTAAATAATAGAATAACTTTTTTCTTTTTTTAACGAAGAATAAAATAAAGAACACAATACGCAAATCACAGGGTTATTTCAATTTGGGATAAACATTTTTTAAACCTCGGAAAACATTAAAATATTACACAGCATGAGGATTTATATTAAAAGATAAACTACCACGACCGTAAGATGTTCATAGTCCATACGAGGTCGTGATCACAACAGAGGGAGGCGGTGATTTATGCTAGTCTCCTCACCCAGTCCTCTCCTCTCTTCCTGGCCCTTGCTACGCTCCACAGGCCTGGGAGGAATATATACTGTATAGAGTAACAGCATCCTTGACGTGATAGGGCAGGTTACACAAGTTTCAGAGGCCCAGCGCAATGGTGGTAGCGACGATTCTAAAATGGGGCCCCATGTTCAGACAATCATCTACAGTAACACTCCACGTTATCTTCACTAAGGTTCGAAAGTATAAATAGGCTACATGGACGAGTTAATACGAATTCACTTCCAGGAAAATTCAACGGGTGAACCTAAACGAATCTGAATCGAATATTTCAGCCCAACACAAGGAGAAAGGTGATTGGTGGTTCAGTACTCACGAGGGATGTTGAGAGAGCCGGGAATCTCGCCGTGTTTCTCCAGCTCCTGAGGTTCACGGACGTCTATGAGGGCGATGTCCCCAGCTACCTGCAGGGCGCGCAGTTCCTCGAAGTCCAGCTCCGTCCGTCTGTTGATTCTTCGACTGACAGCCGCGGCGTGGGTGGGGGATTGCGTCGGTGTGCGCATCGGGGTGCATGCGTGGGTGGTGGAGGAATGAGCTACTTGTTGGCTGCAGTACCCGCAAGCTGAAAAAAACATACTAAACATATTAGCTATTTTAATTAAAACATATTCCGACAAAGCATTGGAGCCACACAACAAATTATACCAAATTCTGTATAATTTCCTGTACTCACAAACTGATAAATTTGTATAAGCAACTAACTAGGCTGGTTATTCTGGGGGCCTTCAAACAACCACCACCACAGACCATCATACAACAGACACGCCCCCGAGGACTCTGTGCCTCTTCAGTTTGCCTGTAGGAAGTGGGGGGAGGGGAGGTATCTTAGGAGAAAATTCTTCATGCCAATTTACAACACTCCTCGGGTCAGTATTCTCTCAACAACCAACTCTTGTGTTAGTACAAATCATTCCTTAAGTCACCCGCCATAAAACATTGTAAATTTTCAAGAGTAAACATGTGTAAACACTGTATGCTATCATCACACACTTATATCAAGAGGTTCAAAGTACACTGCCTAACCTTGTACTGTCCAGTTCAATATGATAAAAGACATTGATAGCGGACCCGTAATGTGATTCCCTCCAGTGGCGGTGCAGTGAAGCCTCTATTTAACGGACTATAACATAAGAACATTAGAATAGAGGAAACTGCAGCAGGCCTATTGGCCCATATACTGGGCAGGAAGATCCGTTGGACATGAAACTTCCATCTAACGGATTATATGGAGAGAGAGAGAGAAGTCCGTTATATGGAGGTTTCAGTGTACGGTATGCCTGGTAGGGGATGAATGTTGGAGAGAGAGAGAGGATGGAAGGACTAGTAATGATTAGGGGGTTGGTGTGTGGGTTGAGGTGAGGGCTGGTGGGGAGGGATGGGTGCTTCATAACTACACTACCAATCATCCAGCGGCTAATGTGGCTTTACCTACAAAGATTATGATTAGGAAGAGGAGAGCAAAGAAATGTACGTATATACTTCATGTTTTCCAGTAAAATAACGATGCAATTGTTTTCTCAAATTAAATAAATTCCAATAATCATAGTACTGTAATGTATAACTAATTTGAATCCTCTAAAAATAAAACCATTACTTTTAGAATTTATTTTTGAATTACCACGATGTATATCTGATGAACTAGCTCTGAGCACCAGGCCAGTAGACTAGAGAGATTTGCCTCAGCGCCGCATGCCTCCCCATATACTATGATGAAAATATTACTGTAGCGTTTTCAGGCAAATAGCGATCATAATATTGTACACAGTTTTTCACTACAAGACGTCTGGTGCCTTTTTATGAAGTCCGAGACATTTGGTACAATTTGAAGCACAATCATACGAACTTAGTGAAAGTAATAATTCCAAGCAAATTAAAAACTAAAAATACAATTATATATACCTTAACATGCGCACACTTATTTGTTTATAAATCAGTGCGAGTACTTTAAGCGTGTCAACAGTGAGAAGTTCGGAGACCGCCGACTCTGTGACCAAGGTCTCTTCTAAATAGACCTTGGTTCTGACCACAAAGTCCCAATAACTACCTCGTGTAACAACAAACACTAGAGAGGCACTGTGCAAGCGTAAACTATGAGGCAGCAATAATTCACTTGGTGAAGAACAAAGGTTTTATCTAACTAGAAGGGATTACCTGCAGGGGTAACGTTAGTAGAAGTTTTACCAGATGGTGTGGTGGCGTTAGCGTACTGTTGTGTTAGTCCGTGGACAGGGGCGGGCGGGGGAAGATGTGGGTAACTGAGGGGCCGCTCTAGGTGTATCTGGTGGGCAACTGTGGGCTGGGCGTGCCCATGGGAAGAACATATCTTACATAGGGACAGGATGCGAGGCACCGTGGACAGTGACTTGGCGAGGACCTCCATGTTGCTTGTGCTCGATGAGGTGACGTCACACTAAACTATTTGTGCTCAGGTGTGTTCTTGAGAGCACCACCGTGAGTGTTCGGAATGTTGTGTTACTTCAGCAGGGTCTTCCCAGCACCGGTTCTTGTTAAAGTGAAGATAATTTTAGGTAGCGAGCGGTGAGTACTGCTGCTACTGCTGGTGGTGTTGTGTGATGGGGATACGAGAAGGCCGAAGCCCCGGTCTTTCTTCAACTACCTCTCCCAGCGACGCGTGGTTTACTCTAACCTGCTCCAATGCCCCGGGCAGCCGTTATATCCCCTCGTCCCCGCGTGGGGGAGGGCGCGTTATCTCCACGAGTTGGCAACTCCGCTGAAACTCTCTTTCACAAAAACTATTTACAACGAAGTCCTTGTATGCATCATCACAAATGCCTGAATTTAACAACACTCATTCAAAAGACACAAGGGCCCGTCAGGCAGCGGAGGATATGTTGTATAATACTGTGTTTGTGTGTGTTCCACTCTCCCAGTGAGGGAACATGTGACCGCTGCCTGGCCCCCAACGCGCCGGCGCCCCCTCCCTCACTACTACGCTCCCTCCCCCATCTCCTTTTAGTACACTATACACATCAACCTCACTCTATATACACATTTATGTACACAACAATCCCCAAAACACGACACATCCCAACCTAAAACCACCACCGTGTTGCCAACCACCCCACCGCTACCCCACCGCCGTAGGCCTTACGTAACCGCCACATAGTATATCGATTGGTGAGAGTAAAATGGAGAGGAAGGGGGAGAAAGGGGGATAATGTGAGAATATTCGAGATAGAGGCAGTAGACGTGACATGATAAGCAGACCAAGGACTTATGATTCGGTTAGAACTGGTCTACCTATGTTATCTGCTGCAGCCTTAGTACTGTCATGATAACATCAAAGACTCCCTCAACGAATCAGTTTTTCCTCAACACAGTAATTAATAATCATTAAAATATAAACACCTCAAAATAATAAGAGTAAAAATATCACTAGAACATTATCACAACCAACGCACTGTACTATTGTGAACACAGAGCAGACTGCCGATCACCTCAACAAACTCACCCCAGCTTATTTCACCTAACAATATTAACCTCCCAAACACTAACAGGTCGATCTGGTTAGGTTAAATTTGGTTGGTTAATCTTAGGTGAAATAATCTGGGATGGATTAGTCAATAGTTACTCCCCCAAGAAATTAAAATATAGGCTTTTTTGTAAGGCGTTTTAGATACACGAAATGGCTAACGCGATAGCTTTCCCGGATTGTCTTTAAAAAATACGACATTATACTGCATCTTGGAAATAACTTGTACAACACAGTCTTCAGAAAAACAATAAAATTAGGAGAACTTATTTGAACACAATACCGAAAGAAAGTGAAGCAAATATATATAAAGTTATGGAAAGAAAGACAAAAAAAGAAAAAAGTCAATCAGTCAACAATAAATAAGATTAACACAAAAAATTGGGCAGTTGTAAAGGTGGGTGGTCCGGACCCCGGGGTGGGAGCTTGAAACAACACTATCCAAAGACCATACGTCTCTTGCAGCTGTGTTCGCATATTTATACACGAAATACGACGAATTTCAGGTTAGTTTACTTCATTTTTTGCCCTGACAGAACTGTAATCAACTTGTTTACCTTCACTTAAAGTATCTTATGAGTAGAAATATTAAAGTTTCAATCATATTTGAGTAATTATCAATAGTTACACCAGTCACCAACGGCGAATTATATCAGTTTTTTGGTGCCTTAAATGCCCACAACTTCAATATTAATCAAAATATTCTCTATAAGCGGCCATGATCCACATATTTACACAGTGTACGTGGGAGAAACTCGCTCATTGGTTGTTAGCTATTCGGGCGCTGCAAACGCTAACACCTGATCGAGGTGTTAGCCTTTTTCCCTCTCAAGGTGTCATGCGCAGTACTCCGCAGAAGCGTCTGCGCAGACAGAATAGCTAACGCGTTAGCTATTCCGTGCATCTACAATGCCTTACAATAAACGCCTTATATACGACATTTCAATCAAAGTCAATGGCTAGATATAAGGAAAATTTTTAAGTAGAATTTGGTAAACAAACACGAAATGCATCCATAAGGTACAGATACGTGTTATAAAGTTGGATACATCAAGGATACAAAATTATGTATTTTATCATCAATACATTCCAGTGTCCTATATACGCTGAGAATGAGATCTGGGAGGGCCTTCGAGACTGAACCACCATCAACATGACAAAAAATTATTAAAATAGATACTGTACATCGAAGGCTAACAAATTCTAAAATAATAATAATAAACTACCATATGGGAAAGTTACACAAGTCACCAAGGTTGACCGTGATGTAATGAGGAAAAATGACAGTGAACGCGATCCCTTGTGCAGACGCCTGGTCAGTGACACTACAAACTGCCTGAATAAAAAACAAACAAATTCCTAACATGGCTGACGATGCTGTATAAAGGCAGTAATGCGTGGGTCGTGTCAATTAATGTCAAAACCAAAGGTATATTTCTGTAAAGAATAAAAATGCGATTTAACTGACAGCTATATTTTAGTTTTGCTTTTATATTAAGTTAATTAATAGAATATTGAAAAACTTAAGAACTGCACATAAACACACGCCACTACACACACACACACACACACACACACACAATGGCGTCCCAACCAAGCAAATCGCGTACGGTATCCAACAACAAAGGCCCCGAGAGAAGCTAAAAGTACCCCCTTGTCCCCACCAAAACCCCACAGCAGCGTAAAGAAAACGGTCCCTCATACTTCCGTGTAGGCCAGTAGCGCTTCATGAGAAAATAAAACTCCGCCTGGTGACATCATTTATTACACCAATATTAACTTACCCAGCAATACCTCTTCATACTATGAGCACCAATCAAATATTAAAATTACAGGTGGTCCAAAATGAAGCCCTAAGATTCGTCACAGGTGAAAGATACCCCCTCACCAGAACCACAGCCGAGATACATAGAGACCTGAGAATGAAACCCATCAACCAGCAGCTGCACACCCTGGCCAGCAGAATCTGGCAAAAGATAGAACGATCAGAGCAAGAACTCCTTCAAAGACTCCCACCAGATACCGACAACCATACATGGTTCCCAAAAAGTCACCAAATCTCAAAAGGTCCATTACCACCCCCGATCTATACGGCCAGACAACCTCCCTAGACCAGCATCCGCCAGTAGGGTCGGCGGAATATGAAATAAGGCCCTTAAAACACCCATATATGGGACAGGGTAGGATGTCTAGTGCCTGTACCGACAGACAATAACTAACCCATGACACAACCCTAACACACTATTAGCTTAGCTAGGCGGTCAGCCCGCCCTCTTACCTCCTTAATTTCTTCAATTTCCGATTTATAACTTTCTTACCCCACCTCTAATATTCTTTCATCCCCCATTTCTCTAAAAAAAATGTCTCTCGTCCCTCACGTGAGCCAAAAGTAACAAGTCTCTAACCAGTGCTACAAATACCTACGTGATGTGTGTGTTCCCTTTACTGACAACTATAGCGAAAAACACTTAAAAATTACACCCACAAAAAAATCAATACAAAATATAACTAAGTATTCGGTGATCAATACTCAAATAAGTTATTTTTCTCCAGCACTCCATCAGGCACGCCCAAAAGACCCACTCTCCATTATTAAAGTTGTGTAAGTCACATTGTGGTGCACACATGAGGTTGCCTACCAAACCACTCCTTCACAAACACTTCATTCACTCAAACATTCGATAAACAACAATTTCAGTTTTAATTATACCCTACTCGGGATCACCTGAAGAATCTCCACCCCAGCTTATTTCACCTAAAGATTAACCACCCTAACGCAAAACTTATTTTACCTCATCCCCGCCAAATAGTGTTAAGGGTGGTTAATGTTTAGGTAAAATAAGCTGGGGTGGAGATTCTTCAGGTGATCCAACAGATAGTCTTCAATGTTTATATACCGAGTCATATAACAATCTTGACTCACAATTTGAGTCGTCTACCACTCTAGTGTCGAACGACTCACCCCTCCCCCACCCCGCCCCCCCCCCGGTCACAGCTGCCTAAGTACTGTGGGTTAAAAATGTAATGTTAGGTTTTTATCTCAACATGACTACACGGGTATTACTGTAGACGTCAGCACCTTACAAACGACCTTGACTTGAGCCAACACTCCTCTAGACTGGAATTATACGGGCGCCACTGTTGCTAAGCGACTGAAATGGAGTCGACACAAGAAAAAAAATGAAGCGGGCTTTGAATTGAGATCAACATTAAACTACCGATATTTATTAGACAAACGTTCCTAATTAATAAAAAAAGACTTAGTTTAATATGAAAAAAGTTATATCTGGTATCGAGAAATAAAGAATTTTCCTCATACGTCTGGCAGTGCCGGACACCCACAGAATTTACTTATTGTACAGCACGGTGGTGAGTTACATAAATACGAGATGCCAACTTGCCCTTATGTTCTATTTAATGTACTTTATTCACTCATATATTTACAAGTTTCTATACTAACATATTCTTGATTACAAACTTGTCATCAATAGTTCCACACCGCATGAAACATCTTTGTCTGTTCATTCCATTAATCAGGAATTATGGCAACTTCTCTCATACTTCCTACTAACGCTCTAGTCTAATACTCCAATACTTCACCTTTTATCCCTCCCTTCTATTCACATTATGGTACGTTCACCCCCCAGCTGACCTTCACACTCCTCCAAACAATCCCCTTCACTGTCTTACCCCCACATGAACATTAGGCACCCGTTTATTTCACCTGATTATTAAACACACTAACGCTACATGGGGTTAATTTATGTTAGTGCTCGTGTTATCAGGATAAATATGCTGGGGTGCCTATTCTTCACGTGATCACTATTACTCATTAACAACCGAAGTCAAAGAGAGAGAGAGAGAGAGAGAGAGAGAGAGAATGACCTTGTAAAGATTTGCCTGATATCTTACAGTGCCGTGGGTGGGGAAGGTCTTCGTGGCTACCGATTCATTATCTGTACATTCCTTTCTAAACTATTCATAAATATGTTGCTATCTACGAATGTGGTGTGCGCTACGTGGGACGAGTGTAGGATAAAAGTCCCCCAGGAGAAATAAAAAAAATAATTATATTTTTTTTTTTCAGTTTATGAACACTTCTCTAACCTAACCTAACCTTCGGAAATTGTTATAGTTATAAAGAAGTATACAACGAATGTTTATTAAATCTG